TATGGAAGCCCCCTGAGTTCACTGACTCTGATAATTTTTAGATAAGGCCATGGTCAAAGTGGAAGTTCTTTCCTCCCTTCAGAGAAAGGTACCTCCTTCTTTGATGACCCATTCTTTCCACTGGGATCTCACTCGTGGAGATCTTTCATTTAGGTTTTTTTTTTTTCCCCGAGAGTGTCTTGGCTTTCCATGCCTGAAATAGTCTCATGGGCTTTTCTGCCGGATCCGCATGCCTTAAGGGCTGATTCTGAGGCCAGAGTGCTGTTTAGGACATCTGCCATTCTATGGGTCTGCTGTGTATCTCACTTCCCATGTTGGATCGTTCTCTCCCTTTTTTATTCTATCAGCTAGTATTTGCAGACACTATTCTTATTTATGTGCTCCCTTTGACTCTAAGTCCTATCATTATGATCAGTTGTGAACAGAAATTGATCACTGGGACTAGTGAGATGGCATTGGTACATGCCACCTTGATGGGATTGAATTGGAATCCCCTGGTATGTTTCTAACTCTATCATTTGAGGTAAGTCAGCTTGAGCATGTCCCGAATTGCACATCTCTTCCCTCTCTTATTCCCACTCTTATATTTAACAGTGATCACTTTTCAGTTAAGTTTCAGCACTTAAGAATTGTGTATCGATTACAGTATTCAACCAAAAGTATTAAGTAGAACAAACAAACAAACAAAAATTTTAAGTGAACAGAGCACTATTGTTAACCCCATGCACACTGTTACATGGCAGATCTCCAGAACTTTTTCATCTTGCATGAAGAAACTCTAATCATATGTCCATTGAACATCAACTCCCCCTTACCCGCTTCCCCTGCCTTTTTGTAACCAATGTTCCACTTTCTGTAAGTTTTACTGCTTTAGATACTCATAGGTGGAATCATGCAGTCTTTGAACTTTTTTGACTAGATGGTACCAGCATAATATCCTTATGTTTGAGCCATTTGTGACATAAGGCAGAATTTCCCTCCTTTTTACAGTTAAATAATATTCCATTGTACATAAAATAATATATAATCTCAAACATGTGAACATAAATTTGCAGAAAAACCTAGAAACCTAGATATTAAAATGTTTGATCATTTCTGGTTGTTAGCATTGTAACAGATTCTTTTACTTTTTTCTTTTTCAAAGTACTAAACACATTGAACATATGCTACCTGTGAAATGGGAAAATGGATATAATAAAAAATTTAGGCCAATCTTATATGACCCTTGTTCGATGAAATCTTTGCTTAAATTCTCAGGTTTGAAAGAAAGCCTTGAAACTCCCAATTTTCTAACTTGAGACACTCTTTTTGAATCTCTCGTGATATGTTATATTCTGCTTTGTGTATGGATATTTATAGTAGTAACCTATTTTCTTGGCATTGCTCCTTGAAGTAAAGAATTCATTATTGTTTTGTTTTGTTTTGTTTTGTTTTTTTTAGTATCTGTAATGTAAGTATCTGATAAATAACTTGATATTTGCTAAGTTGTATATAATGTAAAAACCCACATTGTACATCTGGAGATAACAAGGTGTGAGAAAATGATATCTGTTTTCTGGTGAAGAGTAGTAAGCACATTTTTGAGTGTCATGAAAAAAGAAACAGCTAGCATGTTTGTATATATCCAAAGTTCTGAGAGCGGGTATCAGTGCAGCACAAGAATTATGATTGGATGGGCAGATTTACCTGGTAGTTTTTCTCTCTCAAATAATACACATTCTGTAGGAAGGCTGAAACTTGCATATGAATCGTGACTATCATTGAAGAGAACCAAACCCAGTGGAGTCAACATCACAGAGAATAGTCTGAAAATTAGAATAATTTCAAACATGGGATGACCCAGTCTAGGAAAAATTTAAGACTTCTCCATTTGTGTGGTGCTCTCCTGGCTTTCCTGGTGCAAAATGCATTTCACTCAGCAAGAGTGTAGAATTCTGTGATTTATGACACCATCCCTTCCCCCCCAGCAGCATAAGTGATGATTTCTGTGGTCAGTGGTGATGAGCAATTAGCTGAAGAAAGGTGACTCCTGCTCCAGGCTTCCTTCTACTCCTGGTTTTGGGTCCAAGTCTATGTCTGTGAAGTTTCAAGAAATCCACATGGAGTCATGTCTTTTGAACTCTAATTGAGCCCCTTTCTCAAGAGTTGCTACCAAACTTTTTACTCGGCGGCATTTTCTCTTTTTCAGCTTAAAAAAATTTTTTTTTTGAGAAGCCAGTCCGAGACTGATAAAACAGTTTGGAAATATTATGCCTGAGCTCTTGCAGTGTAGATTACTAGGGAGCTTTGTGGTAAGCCTTTTAGATGTTTTTCCACCTTGGAACTCAGTCTAGAATGCTGCTATTGTTTTGAAAGTAGTCAAATAAGTATAGGAAGATGAAAAAAAAAATGGTAAGTTGAGTTCTGATAAAATGAAGAAAACCATCTTCTCTTAGCATTTAACGTTGAAGCTAAAGTTCTTAACAGAAAGGGAAGAATCCGGGAGATTTCTGAAACTATAAGGAAATGTGATGATCAATTAGATGTCTCATGCTCAGGGTATATACATCCCAGGACGGTGCTTTATAGGCTCTCTGTACTGGTGCCCACCCACCAAACACCAGGTTTGTTGATATGGCAGATGTTGTGTAGGGCACTGAGAACACAACACAGTTTCTGCCTTTCAGATGTTTATAATCTGGTGGGAAAACATACAGGCCTCACGTGGGAAATTCTAAGTTTAATTACGGTAAATTAAAAGTGATAATGGAGTACCATGTCATGGGCTAGGGGCAACCTTTGAGGAAGTAATGATTGTTTTGAGACAAGGAGGATGAGGATGAGGATGAGGATGAGCAAGAAAGGAGGAGGGAAGCCTTTTGGAAAGGATTGGGAAGAGAAAGCTCTCTAGACAAAGGCCTAGAGGCAGAAGACTCTGGTGTGCACTGTTATCTCCTGAAGATTTGGGAGCGAGGGAGTTGGTGATAGGGGAAAGTAGAAATAAGGCTGGAAATGCAGATGGAGGCCAGATTATAAAGTGCCTTGTAAAGCAGTTCTGAGTTTGGAATTAGTCCTATTGGCAGTAGGGAAGATGGAACTTGAAGGAAAGCTGGCAAAGTAGCCCATGTAGAGAGAGAGAACTGAAGACTGCCTAAGATATGCAAGATACAAAGCTTGCATTAAACAATGCAGGGAGGAAACCAAGCTAGGCTAGAAGACTGCTGAGGTTCAGCTTATGTTTCAGTAGTCCTGAAGATTCTGTCCCTCAAAATGTTTCTCAGCTGAGATCCTCTATTACATGTAGCTGTGGAGTTTGTCAAAACCATACCCAACCATACATTCAGTAAATATCTCTTAAGATGGGCCTAACATCCTTTGGGAAAGGTTTACAAATACATGAAGAATTTGATCACACTTGGTTCATACACAAACTTTCAGCTGCTGAGTAAAACAGATAAAGGCAGAGGGTTATTTTCTTTTTCACTATGGTAGCTTCTTATCCAGCACCTCCGACTCGCACCTATTGGCATACTTGGCATATCCCAAAGATGAGTTATCTAATTGCTAGCAGGTGTAACTCAAACAAGGACTTTAAATTTAAATATTCTCATGTGTTCCCTGTATACCTTTTTCTATGGGAATAGAGTATCTAAGGGCGTACCTGGTAGTTTTCTTTTTGATTCATAAGGCAAAATAGAACTTAAGACATGCCATAGCCAATGCCAATCTCAGTGCCAAAAAAGACCAAAAAGATGTTATGAGAGACACAAGCACTTCAAATTAGCAAGTCCAGATTTGGGAATACAGAGGAGCATTGCTGTGATTCTTATACAAACATCCAATAAAAACTTTCCCCCCCTGAGATATGTTTTGAAATTTCAACCAAAAGTGAAGCTTAGGAAGTCTAATGTACTTTTGTTTGTCATATCTTTTAGGAAGCTGGAACGGAAAAGAGTGTTTTCCCCCTGCCTGAACCACAAGATTTTTTTCTAGCTTCCCAAGTCAAGTTTGAAGACCTCATAAAAGATTTGAGAAAATTAAAGAGGCAACTAGAAGGTAATAGGAACTATTCTGTTATTATGATAATAGCTGAGATTACTTTCTTAAAATGCTTTAAGAGAATTATTTATGTCTGGTGCAGAGTTCAGTTATGGTACACGACAGTCCTCATGAAACTTTCCATATCTATGCACTTGGGTAGAAGCACTGTATTTATGTAGGTCTCTCTGTTATGAGTGCTGATCATTGGCTTATAATATCTATATCTTATAATATTTACATTTTCTAGTGTTAAATAGCTACAACAATTAATAGCAACAACAATTATTAGCAGACAGACAAAGAGACCTTCCATTTGCTGATTTATTCCCCAAATGGCCTTAACAATTGGAGTTGGGCCATGCTGATGCCAGGAGCCAGGAACTCCATCTAGGTCTCCCATGTGGGTTTCCCACATGAATGGCAATGACTCAAGTATTTGATCTATCACCTGCTGCTTCACAGGTGCATTAGAAGGTGCTGGACTGGAAGTAGAATAGCCATGACTTAAACTCACACTCTAATAGAGGATGCGTATGTCCCAAATGGAGACTTAACTTACTGTGCCACATGCCAACCCCTCATAAAATTCTTATAATTAAAATGGTAAGCTGAAACTACATTAACTCCATTATACATGGGAGAAAAGTGAGATCTAGAGAGCTCATGATCAGACAGAGTAGGAGGCAGATGTACCGAGCTCTAATTGGATCTATCCAATTGGAATTCATGCATTTTCTGAGCTTACTATGCTGCTTTATTTATATCATCTGTATGCACACACATGCACATACACATGTCCCTAGATACTTAGTTTATGTTTATGAGTCTAGTGATGGTGGTGAGACCTACTGTAAACATTCAGTTTTAGTTGAATTTGCATTTTTAATCATTGAAAGCAAAATGCTGAAGGCCTCTTTTTGGCTTTTTTAAAAGGTGAAAATATGTCTCACTTGGGCAGGAATTTTCCTTTGGCATTTCTAAAGTCCTGTGTTTTCACTGAGGAGACATCTCCTTGTCCAAGAATATAAATACTTGCCTTGGAGCTTGTATAACTCCAATTGAAGAGCCCCACCAAGGATTTAGGGAGCGTGTTAATGTGGAAATGGAGCCCGGAGTGCCAAAGGGGGAGCTTGAGGAAATGAAGAGCTTCAACCAGGAATATTTTTACACCAAGACATAAAATAAACATTTTAAAAATGTTTATTGTGAAAGAGTACTCAGAAACCTAAGTCTTAGACAGAGAACAGCTTGGAAATGCACGTAAAGTGGGAAAGATCTGCTCCCAGTGGCAGAGAAAGCCATTTATTTTTACTTTGGGCATAAAACTTGCTTAAATAAGGATAGTGGTTACAAGTGAATATTTTTACCTTGTAAATTATCTTTAAAGGAACATGTGGGTTTCTTTTCTCCTGTTGATGTGGTTGAAAGAGTGAATTCAGCCAAATGGCTGCTTTGTTCAGGAATATGATATGTGAACTTGTGGTCATTTCCACCCCCCTCCCTCTACCCTAAAGGACTGACAGTTTTATCCTCCTTGGAGATGAGGGGCTTGGTGTGCATTGTAATAAGGCAGGGTTAAGCTGTCATGTGGCAGTTGTCTCTGTCAGGGCTCAGGCCAGTACTCAGTAGGGTACAGGCATCAGTAATGGCCGAGCAGGGCTCGAGATTGTTTCCTCTCCGCCCTGTATCTGACTGCTCATCCTTCTTGTCTCCTGGCCCCTTTGCCTGACCTTTCTTGTAGTCTCTTGAGCAGAAACCTGATCTCTGTTTGATCTTTCCTCTTCTCCTTCCAGGGCTTTCCTTGCCTGACATCAGGAGTCTGATGATAAATAGCAAGGGGGCAAGAAGACTGAGTGGGGAGGGGGTGGAGAGGCAGGAGCTCCCCCAGAGCTCCTCACTTCAGCACACCTTATTTTGTCTCAGGAGGCTCCCAAGTGTCTTCAGCCTCTTTGAATGAAATACAAGGCCTTCTGAACTATCAGGCCTTCAGTTATTTTTCTTCTGTGTCCTAGGCTTTACCAGAAGATAAGAAGTCCCACAAAGGCAAATGAGGAAATAACTCCCCCTACCCCCCCCACACTGAATATTTAAACAAAAATGCCCTGCTAATCTTTAGAGATGCCAGTGTTTTTAACACATGAAAGGTACCCAGTAAATATTTAAAGAAAATACAGACCGTGGGTTCTCTAATGAATTTCTTTTTCTTCTAAATACCATCTGGCAAGAAGACTAGAATGGTGGCGGTCCGTTTCATCTCTAGTTCCCATTCAGGTTTCACCTCCTTTTCCATAAGGCCTTGGTGTGAGCTGAGATTGAATGTTTAATTGAAGAGGACATAATTTTCACACATACAGCAAAGATTTGATGAGGCTTTGAGGTTTATTGTAGCCATTAAAATGTCGTAGCTGCTGGCAAAATCCCAGAAAATGTCTAAAGCTAAACCAGATGTGATTAGCAAATTTCAAGAAGTATCAGGCCACGGTTTTCCAGGCAGGCATGACCCTTTAGATTAGAGAACGTTTTGAGTAGCACTAACCACACCTTAATAGCATGTGAATTAACCCATGGCTGACGGTCACATAAGTGTCACTGATGGAAGTAGAGGTTCTCAAGCAACATCTTTCAGCAAGATGAGAGCTTTGAGAAGCCTTTTTTTTGCAGGTAAACATTGTAAAGAATTGATAAGCACATCAACTTTAGATCTGTTGTGTGATTATTATGAATCAGCTGCTTTACATAAATCATCTTTTTTAATGCTTACAATGCCCCTAGGAAGCTTATATTTTTGCTCTCTCATGAGATAAGGGAACTCAAGTTCATGTGGAGTATTTGTGATTCTTTTCCTGTGTTGCAAAGTCAAGTTTTTTAATAATTCAAAAAATTACTTACTTATTTTAGAGGCAAAGGGGAAGAGAGGGTATGCCTGCAAGCACAAGCCTGCATTCACGGGTTCACTGTCCCGTGGCCAGGGCTGGGCCAGGGCTGAAGCCAGGAGCCAGGAACTCAATCGAGATCCCCCATGGGTGGCAGAGTCCCAATTACTCGAGCCATTACCACTTCCTCCCGGGGCTTGCTTTGGTGTGGGAAGCTGGAATCAGGATCCAGAGCTGGGAATCACACCCAGGTACTACAATGTGTGTAATAATTGCTAGGCTAAACATCTACTCATAAATCAAGTTTTTGATGTTTAGGAGCATATTCCATATTTTGTGTATTGTCCTATACTCCTTAATCAATAATTTTGACTTCCTTCATATCATGATATTGTAAAGAATACTTGGGGAAACCCATATTATGCCAATATTTACTTTCTGACCCCTAGGTTTTGTTGGCTGGCCCAAATTCTCTACATAATCTTAGCAACCTGTATATGGTAGGCAGAATTATGGCCCCCAAAAAGATCCAAACCTTAATCCCTAGAATCTGTATGTTACCTTTTATGGCAAAAAGGGAGATTACTGATGTTGAGATGGGGAGATTATCCTAGACTACCCAAGTGGACTTAATATAACTACACACAGCATTGCTAAGATGATAGAGAATTTCCCAGGTAATAGTCCCCACCAATATTGCATGAAATATGAATTGGTGCTCTCCATAAAAGAGTGTGTGGTCAAATAAACCTGGAAACGCTCCATAATGTAGCTCATACCATAGGGACTCACAGTGTACATGAGCTTATTAAAAGCTCTGAGAAATCTAATAATTTAAAAAAGAGTTACCCCTGCCTAAAAGAGCATTTTTCAACTTAAAACACAGATCATAGTTTTTTTTTTTTTTATGTTCTTTCATTGAATACTTAGTGATGCTTTACAGAACATGCATTCTGAAATATAGTTTAAGAAGGGCTATTGGTACCATAATTTTTAAAAAATTATTTATTTTTTGAAAGGCAGAGTTAGAAAGAGGAAGACACACAAACACATACAGAAATCTTCCATCTGCTGGTTCACTCCCCAATTTCCCACAACACTTAGGTCTGGGCTAGGCTGAAGCCCAGTGCCAGGAACTCCAACCTGATCTCCCATGTGGGTGGCAGGGCCTCAATTACTTGGGCCATCATCCACTGCATTCCCAGGTATATTAGCAGGAAACTGGATGAGAAGGAGGGCAGCTAGGACTCTTAACAGGCATTGTGATATGTGCTGCCGGCATCACAAGTGGTGACTTACCCCACTACATATATACTACAATGCTGGTCCCTTAGTCTCAGACTTTTAAGATAACACAGTTGCTGGTTAAATAGTCATTACTGAATGCCTTCATTGGAGTTGAGATGAACAATTACAGCCTTTGCTCTTTAATATTGTTCTTAATACTCCCTTGACTACACTGTCCTAATTGAACTTGTTATTCAGATAAACAAAGTGAGTCAAACCTTGATGTCTTGTTGCTTGAAAGTGAAAATAAATAACACTAATGTTATTTGAGACTACTTTAGTATCATCTCCCTCTTGTGCATGTTTGTTTGACATGATTCTATGATAATATTTTATTATGGTGAAAAATTGTGGCTGTGAATCTAGAAAAGCTATATTAACATTTTATCAGAAAATGAGATAGGAACTCTTCAGATAGTTGTTTGAAAGCCAACATATTCTAGAAAACTTATCTCAGAATAAAAGTAAATATAAAAACATAATAGCCTACAATAGCTACTTAGTATACTTTTTATACTAAAAAATAGTATCCTATATTATCAAAGTTCAACTACTTAATGAATTAGCTGCATATTAAATCTTTCTTTGAAAATGGTGCATTAGTCTTTTATTACATATACAAATTAGGAAAATATAATTAATAGTCGTTAATCCTCAGTGTAAGACATTCAGACTTGTTTGAGAATGTTGGCAGAGATGCAAGTTCGTGTATGTGTTCTTTAAGAAAATTCTGATGATGTCTTTTTCTCTAAATATTTAAGGCTTTCTATTTCAACATGTTCTTTCTTATGTATGATGTAGAAATATTTGGGAATACACTTACACAATTCTATAAAGGAAAGAATCTGTTGACTC